TTTCGCACTTCATTACGGTGCGAATATTAAGGCCGCAATTCTGCACTAGTTTTCGTGTATGCTGTTTTCGGTTTATGATGATCATAAACTGAATAGTCTTGTTTTAGCTTTCCACAGGCCCTATTTACGATTGGTAGCGATCGTAATTGGTGGTTGTCCCGTTTGGTCTGTGGTAGGGGTAATAACGGGTTTTCAGCGTAGTCAGTGGGTTTGGAATGGGCTGTTTGCTTTCTTGCTTAGCCTGCTGCTTTTGTGATGCAGCAACGAGCATTTGCTGCAAATGTCTGCCGTCCTGCAAGAAGTCCATCTTAACGCGACTATACTATGGAGTGATTCTGCTTGTTGTAATAGTATTCTCCTGTGTTTGTCTGAGTCCAAATGTGGAAAAGTTGCTGAGGAAGATACCGTCGTTGTGTCCGGGTGAGCCGAATGATTTGTGCAGTCTGATAACGGGTTACGGCGCGGTGTATCGAATGTGTTTTGCTCTTGCTCTATTCTTCTTTGCTTTTTCTCTTTGCATGATCAATGTCAAGTCTTCCCACGACTTTCGGGCATCAATTCACAATGGATTTTGGTTTTTCAAGATACTCGCTATTATAGGCATTATGGTTGGTGCATTCTTTATACGTGATCCGATGTTTCTCTACGTGTGGATGATCTTTGGTATAATTGGTGCCTCTCTCCTTATTCTTCTTCAACTCACGCTTTTGGTTGATTTCGCGCACTCCTGGAACGAGAAGTGGGTGGATGCTTACGATGAAACCCATAACAGGTGCTATTCTTGCGGTCTCATATCCTCTACCGTCTTCTTTTATGCTCTCAGCGCCACTGCAGTCATTGTGTTCTACATTTTCTTCGGTTCTCACCCGTCTTGTCACTTGGGTAAAATGCTGATCAGCATTAATTTGATCCTCTGCGTCGTCATGAGCGTGATTTCCGTCCTTCCTGTTGTGCGAGATAAGCTTCCCCTCTCCGGCTTACTTCAGGTGGGTTCGTTTAGCTAGACTCATTTCCACTGCCCACTCATGTTTGCCAT